TTTGCTCTCCCCTGTTCTTTTTCTAATCTATTGTTATAGAACAAACTACCTTTCAAGATCTTATGATCTGCAGCTGTAAACTAGGGACAAACAGTTGTTGTGAGAGATGATTTGACTTGTTATCAAATGTTTGCTTATGGATATATGCACATCACTAGCTCATCTCCGGGAATCACTTTTCATTAACACGCTGAGGTATGAGTCATCCCTCACTCGGCCCAGGCCGCAGCCTCTCTGACACTTTCAGGGGTCCTGAGGCCTGATCCCCGCTCATCCTCCTCACTTTGAGGCAGGTCACTGTCCGGAGCCCTCAGTCAGCCACTTCTATTCCTTCAGTCCGCAGAGTGCCACCACTGAAGGCTTCTGTGCATAAGGAGAGCCTTTTTCTAGAGGGTTGGATAGTAACAAAGAGTAATTGTAGCACAGGCAGAAAACCGAATGTCAGGAGTCACTATTCCTCACAGGTTTGGGGAAATCCAAAAATAGCCCTTCGTCTCCCTGTCTAAGTTCAAAACCTGTTGACAGTTAGACCCGTTAGTCAGACTGAAGGAGACCAAAATATATCCACTTTTTGTTGTTTTGTTCTGTTTTATTAACAAAGGTAGGGGTCAAACCTTTGTCATATTAGCTCAGAGAGCTCCCTAACACTTTATCCGTGAATTGAGCTTACCACCCAGACAGAGATGGAAAAACCATGGGCCTCCCTTGTAGGGAGCTGGGGGGAGTCCAGGAGAAGCAAATAGAATATGCGTTTTTTTCAGGAAGTCATATCTTGAACAAAAAGAGAAAAAAGGCACAGGAAGTGTGTGAACTCGCATGACACTTCCTTCTCTCTGATTCACCAACTTAAAATGTATCTGGAAATGCAAAGGACCAAGATGAGTCAAGGATATCTTAAGAAAAACAAAAATCTATGACCACCACTCCTAGATTTCAAGACTTTTTATAAAGCTACAGCATTTAATGTGGTATTAGTACAAGAAGATGCAAATCGACCTGTGGAGCAGAACAGATTCCAGAAACAGATCCACACATAGATGGACCATTGAGTTATGACCAAGTGTAGTGGAGAAAGGATTGCCTTTCCAATAAATTGGGTTATGATTTGTATCACAATATGGAAAATCACGTAAATTAATCCTCACCACAGACCATATACAAAAAATCAAAACAAGGTGGATCTTAAATCTAAATGCAAATGTAAACAATAAAGCTTCAAAAAGATAACATAAAAGAATATCTTTATGACCATGGAATAGACAAATATTTTTTAATATTTAATTATTTTGTGTTCTTAAACACGACACAAAAAGCACTAATCATAAAGGGAAAGATTGATAAATTGGACTATCTTAAAATTAAGAAGTTTCACTTATCAAAAGACCCTATTGAGATAGGGAAAAGGCAAATCAGAGTTAGAGAAAATATATATATTTGATGTATATATCAGAAAAAAGGCTCATATCTGGAACATATAGAAAAGCTGTACCAAATTATCTAATGGTCACAGCTCCTTCCATCCGAGTACATATGCCCTTTTGTGATGTGACCTTGCCATGTATTTCATACAGAGGTAGAGTCTATTTTCTACAATCAGCCAACTTTCTAGCCCAATGTAGTCACAAGAGTAGGCTCAGGTAAAACCAGCACAGGAATCACCAGCCAACTCACAAAACCACACAAAAAATTGGTGTCATATTTTATCAATGATATCAATCAAAAATAGATCATTGCCACCAATGATTTTGGGATGTTTTGTCACATGGCAATAGACAACTGAAATAGAACTCCTACAATAAGAAAAAAATAGACAAAAATATTTGAACAGGTGTTTCAATAAATGTGTCCAAATGGCAAATAAGCATATGAAAAGATTTTAACTTCATTAGTCATCCAAAGAATGCATAATAAACCACAACATGATGCCAGTAAGCATCCTTAGAAAGGCTGAAATGGAAAAGACTGACAGTACCAAGTGTTGACAAGGACACAGAGCAGTGGACACTCTCATACACTGTGAGGCAGGCAATAAATTGGTATAACCACTTTGAAAAACTACTTCACAAGATCTGTTATAGCTGAATGTACAAAACCCGTATGTCCATGTAATTCCACTCTTAGGTATGTATCCAACAGAAGTGTGTACGTATATTCACCAAAAGTCATGTACAAGAATACTCAGAAGGGGCCAGCCCAGCGGCACAGCAGTTAAGTTTGCACATTCCACTTCTCGGCAGCCCAGGGTTCGCTGGTTCGGATCCCGGGTGTGGACATGGCACCGCTTGGCAAGCCATGCTGTGGTAGGCATCTCACATAGAAAGTAGAGGAAGATGGGCATGGACGTTAGCTCAGGGCCAATCTTCCTCAGCAAAAAGAGGAGGATTGGCAGTGGTTAGCTCAGGGCTGATCTTCCTCAAAAAAAAAAAAAAAGAGTATTCAGACAAAATGGATCAAATATCCTGATGTGAGAGCTACAACTATAAGCTTTTAGAAGAAAACATAGGTGTGAACCTTTGTAATCTTGGATTAAAGAATGGATTTTTGGATATGACACCTACAATACAAGCAACAAAAGAAAAAAAACGATAAGCTGTTCTTCATCAACATTTAAAACTTTACTGCTTCAAATGATAATCTCAACAAGTGAAACGACAATCCACAAAGTGGGAGAAACTATTTGCGAATCATATATCTGATAAGGTATTTATATCCAGAATGTAGAAAGAACTCTTACAACTCAAGAATGGCCAATCAATACACAAAAAAATGCTCAACATCATTAGCTGTCAGGGAAAAGCAAATAAAAACCACAGTGAGATACCACTTCACACCCACTCCAATGGCTACAAACAAAAAGGTGATAATGACAAGTTTTAGTGAGGATGTGGAGAAATAGGAACCTTCATACATTATTGGTAGGACCGTAAAATGGTGAACCCACTTTGGAGAACAGTCTGGCGGTTTCTGAAATTGTTAACCATAGAGTTACCATCCAACCCAGTAATTCCACACCTAGGTGTCTACCTAAGAGAAATGGAAACATATGTTCAGAGAAACAGCTGCACACAAATGTTGATAGCAGCATTATTTATAATAGCCAAAAACTGGAAACAATCCAAATATCCATCAACTGATGAACAGATGAATAAAATGTTTATATCCATACAATGGAATAGGATTAGTGATAAAAAGGAATGAAGCGCTGATACATGCTACAACATGGAGGAAGCTTGAAAATGCTATGCCAGGTGAAAGAAGCCAGACACAAAAGACCTAATAATGTATGATTCTATGTATATGAGTGTCCAGAATAGGGCCATTTACACATCTATAGAGAAAGAAACTAGATTAGTGGTTGCCTAGGGCTGAGGGGGAGGAATAATGGGCAGAAATGGAGAGTGACTGTTAATGAGGACAGTAGTTCTTTTGGGGGTGATGAAATGTTCTAAAATTGATTCTGGTGCTGGTGGCATAATTCTGTGTATATGATAAAAAGCCATTGACTTTTACACCTTAAATGGGTGAATTGTATGGTACATAAATTAAATTTCAATAAAGTTATTATAAATAAAGAATATTCTGGAAGTAGATAGTAGATAGTGAATGTAATTAGTGCCACTGAGTTGGCACTTAAAAATGGCAAATTTTATGTTATATATACTTTACCATAATTTAAAAAAATTTTTAAAGAATATTTAAAACAGCAATATTAAGGGCCTGGCCCCATGGTCAAGTGGCTAAAGTTCCACATGGCCCGCTTTGGTGGCCCGGGTTCTCAGGTTCAGATCCTGGGTGTGGACCTACTCCACTCAGTAGCCATGCTGTGGCGGTGCCCTTCATACAAAATAGGGGAAGACTGGCACAGATGTTAGCTCAGGGCTGGTCTTTCTCAAGCAAAAAAAAGAAGAAGAAAAAAGAGGAGGATTGACGACGATGTTAGCTCAGAGATACTCTTCCTCAGCAAAAAAACCCCAGCAATATTAAAAATAACCAAACACTGGAAACAACACAAATGTCCAATGATGGACAAAAATATTGAGGAATATCCATACTATATTCTTGCTATATTCATGCTTTACATGAACGAAAATGACCAAATTCCTGCTACTTGTATCAACATGGCTGAATCTCACAGAAATAATATTAAAAAAGAGAAGTCCAACAAAAAAAGAATACATATTTTATTACTCCATTTTTATAAAATTCGAAAACAGACAAAACAGATCCACGGTGTTAGGAATCAGGGTAGTGGCAACCCGGGGGGAACAGGGCAGGACCAGGACGGGGCAGGAAGGAGTCTTCCGGATGCTGGTAATATTTACTTTCTTGATCTGAGGGACGATTACACAGGTATGCTTACTTTGTGAAAATCCATCAGGCTGTACACCTATGATTTGCATAATTTTCTGTAAGTATGCTAGATTTCAATTTTTTCAGTTTATTTTTTAAAGTCTCTTTTTAACGACTGGCACCTGAGCTAACAACTGTTGCCAATCTTTTTTTTTTTTCCTTCTTCTTCTTTTTCTCCCCAAAGCCCCCCAGTACATAGTTGTATATTCTAGTTGTGAGTGCCTCTGGTTGTGCTGTGTGGGCCACCGCCTCAGCATGGCCTGATGAGCAGTGCCAAGTCCACGCCCAGGATCTGAACTGGCAAAACCCTGGGCCACTGAAGAAGAGCGCACAAACTTAACCACTCAGCCACGGAGTCAGCCCCTATTTTTTAAAGTCTTAAAAGTCACAGTCTTCCATGTAATTTTTTTTTTTTTTAAAGATTGGCACCTAGGCTAACAACTGTTGCCAATCTTCCTTTTTTGTTTTTAAGGATTGGCACCTGGGCTAACAACTGTTGCCAATCTTTTTTGTTTTCTTTTCTTTTCTTTTCTGCTTTATTTCCCAAACCCCTCCGGTACACAGTTGTATATCTTAGCTGCAGGTCCTTCTAGTTGTGGGATGTGGGACGCCGCCTCAACGTGGCCTGACGAGTGGTTCTGTGTCCTCGCTGCAGGATCCGAACCCTAGGCCACCGCAGCAGAGCACGCGAACTTAACCACTCGGCCACGGAGCCGGCCCCCTCCATGTAATTTTAATGCACAGCCAGGGCTGAAACATTTGCTTCCTTTTCCAAGTCACCACTAGCTTCTTGAGGACCCAGCCGCTCTAAAAGTTCTCCAAGACTCTTTTCCTTCCACTCTGTCATAGAGAGCAATTCTCTCTCTCTCTCTCCCCTTCGTGCCCTTCATCCTTTTGTTTGTTTGTTACCAAACCTCTTCCTGTTTGATTACGCCGCTTTTATAGCCAAAGTCCATTAAGGTGTGTTCCTAACAGAAAGAGTTTTTCCCCTTAGTGGACTCCTACCACCTTTCTAGGTTAACAAGCTCAAACCGCAGCAATACTTTCTTCCCATTATAGATATAAAGTTCTTAACACAAGGACTAGCGTATAATAAACATCCAATGAATAGGGAAGGAAGATTGAGATCAGGAAACTGGAAAAAGGAGACTAAAGATCTGAGGCCAGAATCAGCTGATGAAGCTTGAGAACAGAAGGAATCGAGGAATCTGGCGTAAAGAGGGGGGAGACGAGTGGGGCTAGCAAGCAATATTAACGTGTCTGCCTCCCCGGAAATCCAGGACAAAGGAAAAGGGACTCCTTTTGTCCATCTTCCTCTGTTGATGAGTGGAGGGGAAAGTCCCAGGAACTGTGTGACACTGCAGCTATTGCTTAAAATGGCCAGATTCTGGAAAGGCACATTCTATTTGCATTACTTTGCATGCAAAGTGTGTGCAAACGCAGAGCTCCATATCTGCCCACTGCCCGGCCCTTCCTGTTCTCAGGTTGGATAGGCTTCCCTTCCACACCAGCTTCCACGCTCCCCTCTTCCTCCTGGGCGTGCACCTAGGCTGTGCTTCCATTGCAGCTGCATGAGGACTGGTGACTTGGACTCTGGACAATGGAATATGAGCAGGAGTGATGGAGACCACCTACAGGCAGACCTATAGAAACTCCCCCACCGACACTCACTCTCTTTCTCCATCTGCTGGCTGCACGCAGAGGATGCCAGGGACCCTATCGGGCTGAAGCCTCAGGATGAAATAGCCTGAATAACGCTGGAGGTCCCTCACCCTGCCTCTCGCTAAGTGAGAAGCAAACTTACTTGTGATGTTAAAAGTTTGGGGCTGTCTGGTTGCAGCTGGCTTCTCCTGAATAATTCAGAGACCATGGTTGTCTCTGTGTCCTTCCTGCCCTGGAGTCTCTCTCCCCAGTCTCTCAGGACCATCGCTCCTCACACAGCTGTCTGGTGCCCACGGTCTCCCGCATCTAAGACAGCTTGGCTTCAGAAGAACTCCAGGAGCTCTGATTGCCTCTCCCTCTTTCCTTCTATCCCACTCCAGTGACGAATCAACCACAAACCGGAGGGGTTAGGTGAGACGAGAGTGGAAATCCATTCCAGAGACGTCAATTAGGCTTCCTGGCCCAGAAATGCCACTCGTGGGGATTTATCCTGAGGAGATTAATCAACAGAAGCAAAAAGATGTTCATTAAAGCATTAAGCATACTAACAAAATAATTAGAATCTGCCTAAATACTTAGCCGTGGGGGGAAAGCCTGGTACATTATGATCAATTCACTCAACTAAATATTAAGAAGTAATTAAACACGACAATTAGGAAGTTTATATAAGAAGATGGAAATTATATTAATGTACTGTTAAGTGCAAAAGCAGATTATGAAATTGTGTTTTCACAATAGTTAGGACTGGGTAAAATTACATGTGGATAAGACAAGCAGGCAACAGAAAAATCAAAACGACTTGATTTGTCAGGGTGCTTAAAACAGGGGTGTGCTCTTTCTTTCCTTCTGATAACTGGTAATGCATTAAAAGGCTCTTTATGCATAAAATGAAATTAAGCTTTTTCCTGAAATTATATTAGTTTATGAGTTAGACGAGGTGATTATCAAAATCAAAATAATTCTTGGGGTATTAGTTTCCCAGTAGGTATTTACATTTTTGAAGGATGTTTCAAATGGATAGAAAGCATGGGAATACATCTCTGTGCATGGAGAGCTATTCTTTCTGGTTTTACTTCCCAGAAATAAAGAAGTTTGGGGTCAGAGGGGCAGAAATCAGCTCAAAGATCATTGGTTTGCCTGGACTACACCGGAGAACGTTCAGTAAGGCAGGAAAAGCAAAGTTCTAAGTTCTCAGTCCAGCCAATAGGACAAAGCCAGGCGTCTTCAACTGGTCAAGAAAACAGAAACACCTTTCTAGATGTTTTAAGCAGAAAGGGATTTGGTCCAAGGAATTCAATGCTTGCTGAACAATTGAGAGGGGTTGAAGGAATAAAGGTCAGAAAAGGCCAAGCTGGCTCTGTGGCCTCTAGGTCTCAGAAGCAGGAAATCGCAGCAGTCAGAGGAACCCAGCAGCGATCACAGCTGGCCGCAGCCCCAGGCCCAGAGACTCACATAGGAGAGTCTGGACCTCTAAAAGGCCTCCCGTCTGCAGAAGCCCATGTCTGTCATCACTCCAGAGAAGCGACACTACGGCCTCCACTGGTTTTCTGCATTCCAAACCTTGCTGAAGTGCCTCTGATGACTGGAATCTAACACAGAACCCTGGCAAGGCATTCTGGAATATTCTAGCACTCAGACTTCCAGCCCCCACAGTACAGGGGAGAGTAGATAAGTGGAGAACAACATTGAGCTGCCAAGAGACAGCCCAGCATCCCTGTCCCGGCAGTAGGAAGAACTCATCTTCAACCTCTCCAACCCAGGAGTAGTTCAAAGAAAGCTTTTATGACATTCAGGACCTTAAAACAAAAGCCCTTTGCTTAGATCCAGTTCTCAGACAGGAAATATGCTATCTCCCCCCCTTCTCCTCCCCTGCTGTTGGTGCGAGGGCAAACTTACGGTTGGGACTTCCACTGCTGCTGGATCTTCCCATGCAGAAAAGAGTGGATGCAAAGGCAGATGTTCTCCTCTGGACCCATCCTGGCCGGCTGGTCTTGATGGGGTCACGTTCACCAGCTCAGGACTTGAATGGAAAAGCAGGATTCGTTCTGACCTATCGTCTCTCAGGCAGTGGGGAGATGTCAACCCCTCCTGGCTTGATTTGAACAACTGGATATTCCTTTGAACCTGCACATTTTAAAATCAGAGATTAGGGGGGCTGGCCCCGTGGCCGAGTGGTTAAGTTCGCGCGCTCCGCTGCAGGCGGCCCAGTGTTTCGTTGGTTCGAATCCTGGGCGCGGACATGGCACTGCTCATCAAACCACGCTGAGGCAGCGTCCCACATGCCACAACTAGAAGGACCCACAACAAAGAATATACAACTATGTACCAGGAGGCTTTGGGGAGAAAAAGGGGAAAAAATAAAATCTTTAAAAAAAAAAAAAATCAGAGATGAGGATGGGGTCTGCCGGGTTCATCAGTGCACAGCCCAGGTTGTGCTCAGTGATGAGGGCCACTGCCCCAAATTGTCAGTTTATCTTTGACCCGTTCTTAGAAAGACTCAGATGCTTTATCAATAAAAATAAAACAACAGCATCATAGCTCATATTCCCGAGAGCCTACTTATACCACGCACAGTGCTGAGTATTTGCTATGTGTTTTGTCTTGTTAATTTTGGAAACAACCCTAAGATAGGCGCTATCGTCATGCCTGTTTGAGAAAACAAAGACTTTAGTAATTTGCCCAAGATCCTACAGCACGTAGTGGAAGTTCATTGATCATCTTCTAGTTTATGCAACAGGACTTTTGATTCTCTTTTCACTTCCTCACATAAATTTCCCTGACAGGGGGTGTTCCAAAGCATAATGGAATGGGAGCTTGATGTTCACGAACGCTATCCGGCAACACACCTAGGAAAAAATTGATAATGAGTTACTATTGGTGAGTAGCATCTCTGTGTGTTGTGAGGGAAGGGTGGTTCCTCAGTTCATTGCATCTCATTCTAGACTAGGAGCTCCAGGAAGTAGACAAGAACCTGGTCTCCATCCAGCCAAGGTTAAGTACAAGGACAACTGTGATAACTTCATGCCCTGAGTCCATCTAGACTCAACAGAATTTGGGGGGGATTCCTAGTAGGCTGGAAGTGGAGGCGTTGAACCCTAGAGTCTGGCCCCAAAGCCTTCCATTGCCTCCTCAGACACCATCAGGAGGGTGTGCATGGCACCGCTGTATTCCTATGCTCCTCTCCCCATTCCAACCACATGCACACACATTCCTACCTCCTCAGCCTTAAAGGGGGCCTGCCCCACACACGGAGCCCGCCCTCAGTCCACATGCATGGCAGCCCAATGAGTTGCGCAATCCATGGCTGGGCCCTGCCAGGGTGGATTCATGCAGTGAGGCATCCAGATGGCCAGCCAAACCACAGCCACACATAGGCCTCTGTCTTCAGCTGTCTGGGACGGTTCATTGTGGATGGGTCCACACTCCTTCCTGGAACTGCACCCACAGAACACACAATGCCATTCCAAGGAAGGGCCCTGGGCCAGCAAGGAGAGCTCTGTGGAGGAGCAGCTGGCTGATTTGATGTGCCAGGGGAAACAACGAAAGGCAACTTGGTATTCTCCACTAATCAGAGGTGGAAGAGCAAAAAGTCACATTCCCCCCCAGGTACAGCTGGGACCCCATGGAAACCGCATGTGCAGGATGGCCTATGTCTTTCCCTCTCAGGTCAATAACAGGCCAGAAATGGCATCTGCTCTTCCTCACCTGAAAATGACGAGGTCTTTCCTATGTCAAAGATCCAGGAGTCGAGCCACATCCCCCGGACACAGCCTTGGAAAGGCAATCAGCATTGTGCATAGTAGAGACCACTCCTCCTGACTGCTCTGGGGTGAGATTCATATTCAGATCATGGCAAAACCAGAATTAAGTTCTGTGGCTGCCTAGGGTTGCAGCAAAGACCAGACCAAGGGGAATTATTTATGCCGAGAGTCGAGAGGCAGTGGAACATCCTTGCAAGGGAGGCCAGAGATGAGGGTCTGAGTGTCAGCCATGGCAGAGGAAGGAAGAAGATAACTCACTGGGGGAGAAGGCAGAGGATTAGGAGCAAGGTGGGGAGCAGAGACAGGCGGGCAGGAGGCTCAGGCCTGAAGCTGCGAGCACAGCTGGAGGGCAGGGGGAACTGACAGTAGGTGCTTCCAGGGGTGTGAGATCTGCTGTGCAGGGCTGAGCCTGGCCGCTGGAAAGGCATGGGGTTCAGATGCTCGCCTCATTAGCGTCACTGCCCACCCTCCCTGCACGTGGCCTGGCCCCAGTCTCAACACACCATGCCCTCTCCTGCGTCTGCCCCTTGTCTGCCCACTCAGCTACTTCCAGCTCTATGCAGCATTTCTGATGTCCCTTAGCCCCAGCCCAGCCAGTTAGGGACCCCCTGCACCGTGTCCACACAGTACCATCCACAGGCTTCACTCGAGCAGCTACCGCATTGCTATAATGATTTTAAACGCCTGTCTCTCCTGCTGATCTGAGACCTCCCTGGGGCAAGGGCCGTGTTCTGTTCGTCTTTTCACCCCTTGCATGGGGCCTGACATGTAACAGGCATTCAAAAAGTCAAGTGAATGAATTAAAAAAAATTTCCTTGGATTCAGCTGAAAAGGCAATTGCTTTAATTTGAATTGTGCAATTCTCATTGTGTTGTCTTTGAAAAACAGTTCCACTTCCCTCCTACTCCAGATGACTCATTCCTGGGGCAGAGAATGCTTTTCTGAGCTACAGAACTTCACTACATCAAATTTTTTGAAAAATCTGTTTATGAGTGTTCTTATCTAAAGGCAAAAATGCGACAGGCTTTTGTAATCCTTCAGCTCGGTGTCAAGCAATGGGAACCGAGATATTTTGACCCCTCTGATTGTTGCAAAGCATCCAGACAGAAATGGCAGGTGAGTAACAAAAATAACAATACTCACACCGGCCACGCCACGTGCACTGAGTGCTTAACAGACGGTAATGAATGGTGGACATTTGGTCGGTGATTTGTGGCCCTGATCTCATTCAGTCCACGCATAGACCTTAGGAGATGGGCGTGGTTGTCTCCATTCAGATGAGAAAACTGCGACTCAGAAAACGTAGGTAATTTGCAGCAAGGCAGCAGAGACGGGATTTGAACTCAGATCTATCTGATTCCCAAATGGTGCTGTTTACCCTACTTCTTCTGGACTGAGGAGGGGAGGCACACACTGAAGGTGGATGCTGAGTTTTGACAAGACAGTGTGAAGGCAAGGACTCTGCACAGCACTCCTGCCTGTGGATTCCTGGGCATTCATGGTTTCAGGTGGACAGAGGGGAAGACAGACATCTGCCCTCTTGAAACTCACCTGCTAACCAGCCAGCTCCATCCAGCTGCCCCGCTCTGTCCACCTGCATGTAAGGGCATAAAGACCCTTTTCTGCTAGGAGCAAAGATTCTAGCTCACTGCTAATTACAACTTACTGCTCTCTGTCCCAGCAGTACCATGGCAACAAGTAGCATTGGCACAAGAATCGGAAGGGAGAAGTGTTGCCTAGCAACAGAGTAATAGAAAGAGCTGTGGGATTCTGGAGGCCTGAGTTCTAGTTCTATTCTGACTACCTGGAGCACTGTGGATAAGACCCAACTCTTCGGAGCCTCAGTTTATTATCATCTGTAAAATGGGGATAACACCAACAGTCTTAGAGGGTTGTTGCAATGACTATGTGAAAAACAAACAAATTAATACATGTAGGATTGCTGTCAGATTCATTATTCTAGAGAGAAAGACGTTATGCACATGGATTAAACCTGAAAGGGAAAAACTGAGGATTTACTAGCTTTCAGGACTTGCTTTAGCCACTCTATACGGGGTGTAAATTGGTAGAATCTGTATGGAAAATCATTAAGAAATATCAGTCACAATTTAAACGTAGGTCCCCTTTGACTCAGCAACTTCCCTTCTAGGAAATACCCGCACATATTCGTAAAGATGGGCACACAAGGGGAAAAGCTGGAAACCAGCTAAAAGGGCCACTAAAGAGGGACCGTGATGGATCAGCACAGTGGACATTGCAGAATTGAACGAGGCAGGTCACGATTCACCAGCATGGAGAGATTTTTAAAATACAATGGTTAGTGAGACGAGGAGAAGTCACAGACACACACACACTTCCATCTTAGGATTTCTAACAAACCATAGTAGTTACCAACTCTTGCTGCTCCCAGAACAGGCTGTAGATGTTTTTGGCCTCCCTACTTCTGCTTATGCCACTCTATCTGCCTGAAATGGGAACCCTCCTTCCACCTGTGAGCCCCTGCTGGTCCCTCAGAGCATAGTGATGTATCCTCTCCTCCCTGAAGCCCTCCAGGTTCCCACCCTTGGACTTCACGTTCCATGCAGGCCTGTATTGTCTCTGTCATGACATCGGCATTTTAATTATTTGTTTGTGTGTCTGGCTGCCCCACTAGACTATGTGATCCCTGGGGAAAAGACTCACATCTCATTTATCTTTGTTACTCCAGGTACTTCTCGGGGCCTGATAGCGCACTGAATTGAAACTTGCAGCTGAAACATTGCCAGAAAAAAGAAACACGGGTGCAAGCTCTGAGCCCCAGTCTTCCCGAAGTCACCCTCCCAGGCGATGCCTTTGTGTCCATTCACAGCTCAGAAGGTGTGCTGTAGGAGGAGAGGAGGAGAAGGTCATGGGTGGGGAAAGAGCTGGGTGGAAATTGCTTGAAACAAAAATCCCCAGGGATTGACGTCGGCAAGCCATTCCCCAATCTGGACAGCAGGTGGCGGAAGTGACCGAGATTTCTTTGACCATCACCAAAGGTAAGGTTTTAGAAAACTGGGAAGGTGGGAGCATCATCTTGAGCCTCTCTTTTCACTGCTGGATTGTGGTACGAGACATAAAGGCAGATATTGGTGTTCTCCTCTAGGATTTCAGCTCCTAGATATCTGAATTTCCAGCCTCAGAGCTCCACCCTCTTCAATCCACCCTTACTATGGCCAGTTTTGGTTTCTGAAGACCCACCTTCCTTTTGGGGAAAAATGAGCATTTCTATTTCCACCAGTGGCTGTGAATATTAGTAAAACCCCTTTGAAGGGCAATTCGGCAGTGCCTCTAAAAAGGAGAACACTTAGCCTAGAGAAGATAAGCAATAACTCAAGAGTCACTTAAAAGATTGTGCTGCAAATAAAGATGTTTATCACTACTTGAATTTCTTCCTCTGGGGGCAAGTGATTAGTCAATTAGTTTAATGGTAGATAAGCAAACAAACAAGTTACTGCTGATTATAGTAAATGTTCAATTTTATATATTAATTAGGGTAAGGTAGTTATTTTGTAAATTTGGTAGTTATTGTTATAATTTTTACATAATGGATTTATTTATGGTAAATACAGGCATGCCAGTACACAATAGCTAGACAGGCTATTTAAATACCATACAGTTGCTGGGGAGGGTTTTGTTTATGTTATTGTGCAAAATACATTTCCAGTAGTCCCCCCCTTAGCCGTGGTTTCGCTTTCCATGGTTTCAGTTTCCTGCAGACAACCTCGGTTCAAAAATGTTAAATGGAAAATTCCAGAAATAAACCATCCATAAATTTTAAATTGCATGCCGTTCTGAATAGCATGATGAAATCTTGTACCGTCCCGCTCCGTCCAGCCAGGGAGTGAATCATCCCTTTGTCCAACAGATCCATGTTGTATATGCTACCCACCCGTGAGTCACTTAGCAGCCATCTCAGTTATCAGCTCCACTGTGGGGTGTGGCAGTGTTTGTGTTCAGGTAACCCTTATTTTACTTAATAACGACCCCAAAGTGCAAGAGTCGCGGTGCTGGCAATTTGGGTATTCTCTTGCTGTGCCTAATTTATAAATTAAACTTTATCATAGGTACGTACGTAGAGGAAGAAACATAGTGACATAGCATTGGTACCATCTGCAATTGCAGGCACCCACTAGGGGTCTGGGAACATATCCCCCGTGGGTAAGGGGGGGCTACTGGATTCTTTCAACAAATATTTATTAAACACTATTTATGCAAAAACTACTTAGAAGGTGACTGCCACATGCTAGGCATCGTTTTAGGTACTAGGAATAAACTACATGGGTGACAAATTTTCTGCCATTGTGGAACTTTCAGTCTGGTGAGGGAGATAAACAAATAATCAAATAAATATATGGCAAGTGGCTAGAACTGGTATGAAAAAGAATAAAGCTGTAAAAAAAAGTAGCGATAGAAGCTGTTACTTTAAATTGGGTGCCCAGGTTCTGCAGTATGTGCTGGAGATTCAACACTGATCGAAATCAGACCTGATTCCTGACCTCCATGGAACTCCTGTGTCAGTGGGAGGGAAAGCCACTGTTCAAATAATGACGTGTATAATTGTCTATTGCTATTAGTGCCATGAAGAAGAACATGCATGGTGTTGTAAAACCTTATTAAAGGGAAATTTGACCTCTTCGGGGAGGTCCCTGAGAAAGTGATACTTGCACTGATATATGAAGTAGAAGTAGAAGTTAACTAAGCCAGGGGTACGAAGAATATTCCAGGCAGAGGGAACTGCTGTTCAAAGGCCCTGGGGCAAGAGGGAACAAGGGAGAATGGGAAGGGGAAAGAAGGCAGAGTAGCCAGAGAAGGAAGAATGAGATGAGGGGAAAGATGAGAGAAAATCTATGGGTCATGTGAAGGGTTTTGTCATTACCCTAAAAAGATGGAAGGTCATCAGGGGTTTTAAGCATAGAATGACATAATTAGATGACTATTTCAAATAGATTCCTATAGGTGCTCTGTGGAGGCTGGACTAGATGGACTCAGATTAAACATAGGATATCTCGAGCTATAGCAACAGTCCTTTCAAATGATAATGCTGTCTCAGACAAAGGCATTGAGTTGGAGATCAAGAGTAGTAGGTGGATTTGAGAAACATTTAGGAGGGAAAAGAAATAGTCCTTGGTGACAAATTGAAGACAGGATGTGCAAGACAAGGAGGTACCAAAGATAACTTTTAGATTTCTGACTTGTGCTACTAGATGGACCATGGTGGCATCCTCTGAGACAAGAGAACACTGAAGAGGACCTGGTATGTGGGGGAAGATTGTGGGCTTGGTTTGGGGCCTGTTGAGCTTGAGCTGCATGGAAATATCAAGTCAAGAGCTAGATCTATGGGCCTGGAACTCAGGTCTGGAGATATAAATCTCCACATTCTCTACACAGAACTGAAGCTGTGGGTAAGGGTGTGATCACCTAGGAAGAGATTACAGAGTGAGAAGAGGAGGGGGACATTGGCAGTTGATGGTGAGAATGAGAAGGGTAGACCTGCAAAGGATACAGGGAAACCAGGGAAGAAACCAGGAGAATATTTTGTCTCTAAAGCCAAGGGGAGAATGTTTCTAGAAGGAGTGGATGGTCAACAGTCAGTCACTGCTGAGAGGGCAAGTAAGATGAGGCTGGGGAAATGTCCCTTGGATTTGATGCCATGGAGATCATTGGTGACCTAAATTGGTGGCAGGCAGGGTCAGCATCCTGCCTAGAGTAGCTGAGGGAAGAGCAGAGGAGTAAGGACAGTGGAGACAAGTAAGTAGAGACGACTCTTCGGTGGAGCTTAACTGGGAAGGAGAAGGAAGAAATGGGTGGGGCCATGGTGTTGGATCAGCTATCCATGCAGATACTGAAGTCAACCAGGTTGAAAGCAGAGATGGGAGCATAAAGGGAGATGATTATCCAGGTGGTCAAGTCTTCACTGGATGAAAGGTCATGATCATGGGCTAGAAGATGATAGAGAGAAAGAGAGCAGTGGAGCTGAACAGCATGGCCCTCGAAGGGTAGAGAAACAATATTGTGGCAGCAGCGTTTGGGAACAAAGACAGTGACAACACTTTCCAACTCTAAGACTGTTGGTGTGGAGGACGAACAGCCATGACCGCAGAGGGTTGAAGGGTCTGTGATGTCCACAGGACAAGCCAGCCTTCATTATGAGGAAAGAGCGGGAAGGAGCGCTCAGAGAAAGAGTTGAAGATCTCGGGGGTTTGGTGGTTGTGGAACAAGCAATTCCAAAGGGCTCAGTCATAAGAGTTTGGGAGATCAGGACCTAGGGCTAAGGCAGGGAGGTCCAGGGCACAATGGATATGATGGAACATCAGCAAAGTGATGGTTGGGATGACTTATACTGGAGTTATTGACTGATTAAAACAGGGATGACCTGGAGGTCGTTCTGTCATCTACCCCTTCAAGGAAGGTGGGCACCAGGTCTACTGGCTGCAGATGGGGTGGTCTGTTACCCACCAAAGCCCCAGGAACATCAAGCTAGACAGATGGGCTGATAGCAGCTACAGGAGTGCTGACCACACACTGTCCGGCCTGGGTGATGGTAGACCCGGGAGATGGGTCTCCAAGATAGAGATACTGCCCAAACCATTATTTTTTTTAAAAAAACTCACCTAAAATCTCACAAATCAGAGCTTTTTTGTTTCTAAGCTTGCCTTCCTTCTA